GGCTGAGGCGGTGCGGAGATTTGGGGAGGGGTATTTCATGTCAGTCGACTCGAAAATCTTCATGGGGCCATCCCAACCCCTCCTGATCTCTCTGAATCCCTTCCGCTTACCATCCAGGGTTCGCGAGTGGCAGCGGAGGATGTGATCATCGGCAAGACGATGCCCATTCCTCCTGACGAGACAGGCGGTGTGGCTCAGCGGTTCACCAAGCGCGACATGAGCACGTGCCTCAAACACAGCGAGACAGGCGTGATCGACCAGGTGAGGTGGTTGGAGAGGTGGGTTGGGTGGGTTGTAGACAGGATGGGGGTTTAGGGGTTTAGCGAGGATGGGGGGCATGAGGGACATTACGGGTGGTGTGGCTCATCGGTTCACCAAAAGGGACATGAGCACGTGCCTCAAGCACAGCGAGACAGTAAGATTCGCTCATCCTTTCTTCCCCCTCACTTGCTCCTCTCGTGTAAAGGCACTCTGGAGGACATGCCATTCCGCTCTAAAGGAATCCCCCCTGCCATCATCGTTAACCCCCCTGTCTTCCCCTCCCCAACCATTCCCCTTTCCCTCTACCTCCTCCCGCCTTTTCGCTTCCCCCTCTTTCCTGCTCCACCCTCCTCCCTGTCCCCCTCCTTTCTGCTCTGCCCCTGCCAACCGACCAACCAGGTAGTTCTCACAACCAACAACGACGGGTTGCGGTTTGTGAAAATCCGCGTTCGGTCCATCCGAGTGCCGCAGATCGGGGACAAGTTTGCGTCGCGGCACGGGCAGAAGGGCACGATCGGCATGACGTACACACAGGAGGACATGCCGTTCAGCGCAGAGGGCATCTCGCCAGACATCATCGTCAACCCGCATGCCATCCCCTCGCGCATGACCATCGGGCATCTGATTGAATGTCTCATGAGCAAGGTCGCTGCGCACATGGGCAAGGAAGGGGATGCGACGCCGTTCACTGATGTCACGGTAAGTCTTTCTAGTCGACTCGAGCAAGTCCGCATCACGGTTAGCCCTCACAGGCAGAAGGGAGCGGAAGGGAGCAGGAGGAGAGGACATGCCGCTCAGCGCCCAGGGCATCTCGCCGGACATCATCGTCAACCCGCATGCCATCCCCTCGCGCATGACAATCGGGCATCTCATTGAATGTCTCATGAGCAAAGTGGCGGCGCATATGGGGAAAGAGGGCGATGCGACTTCGTTCACCGATGTCACGGTGAGTCGCGTGATCTGTTTGTAATCACTGTCACACGCCTGCATGTCAGTGAAACCACGTCTCAACAACCCGCATGCCATCCCCTCGCGCATGACCATCGGCCATCTCATTGAGTGCCTCATGAGCAAGGTTGCTGCGCACATGGGCAAGGAAGGGGATGCGACGCCGTTCACTGATGTCACGGTGAGTCCTTCAGACGTTTCAAGCAAGTTTGCAGTGCAGTGAACCTGCCCTTGGAAAGGGAGTAGGGCATCTGATTGAGTGCCTCATGAGCAAAGTGGCGGCGCATATGGGGAAGGAGGGCGATGCAACTCCGTTCACTGATGTCACGGTGAGTATTCTTTGAGTCGTTTCGAGTGAGCCCATGTTGTAGTTAACCTACGCAAGCAAAAAGGGGCAGACCCATGCCATCCCCTCACGCATGACCATCGGGCATCTCATCGAGTGTTTGATGAGCAAAGTGGCTAGCACAGGGGGAAGGTGGGGGATGCGACTCCATTCACTGACTTCACTGTGAGTCTTGGGGCTGCTTCCTCGTTCTGTTTACCCTCACATCTTCACCTGCTTGACAATACCATGTTGTCAATTGGACGGTGCACAAGTGTAGGTACCATTAAGGGGCTTTGAGCGCATGTATTTCCTGTGCCTCAACATACCCATTTTTCTGCTTTTCCCGTTCTCTCATCCGATCACTACTTGCCACAGGTGGACAATCTGAGCCGCACGTTGCACAAGTGTGGGTACCAGATGCGGGGATTCGAGCGCATGTACAACGGCCACACGGGCCGGCCGCTGCAAGCCATGATGGTTACCAGTTGTGCCTGCTGCTTCATCCACTCTTCCCTCCTCTCTTCTCTGATTCAAACCCTTCACACGTGGTGTATTCCAGGTGGGCAATCTGAGCCGCACGTTGCACAAGTGTGGGTACCAGATGAGGGGATTCAAGCGCATGTACCCTCTAACCATCATCACGCCTTCGTCCTCTCTTCCCTTTCAACCTTGCAGGTGGACAATCTGAGCCGCACATTGCACAAGTGTGGGTACCAGATGAGGGGGTTCGAGCGCACGTACCCTCTAGCCATCATCACGCCTTCGTCCTCTCTTCCCTTTCAACCTTGCAGGTGGACAATCTGAGCCGCACATTGCACAAGTGTGGGTACCAGATGAGGGGGTTCGAGCGCATGTACCCTCTAACCATCATCACGCCTTCGTCCTCTCTTCCCTTTCAACCTTGCAGGTGGACAATCTGAGCCGCACATTGCACAAGTGTGGGTACCAGATGAGGGGGTTCGAGCGCACGTACCCTCTAGCCATCATCACGCCTTCGTCCTCTCTTCCCTTTCAACCTTGCAGGTGGACAATCTGAGCCGCACATTGCACAAGTGTGGGTACCAGATGAGGGGGTTCGAGCGCACGTACCCTCTAGCCATCATCACGCCTTCGTCCTCTCTTCCCTTTCAACCTTGCAGGTGGACAATCTGAGCCGCACATTGCACAAGTGTGGGTACCAGATGAGGGGGTTCGAGCGCACGTACCCTCTAGCCATCATCACGCCTTCGTCCTCTCTTCCCTTTCAACCTTGCAGGTGGACAATCTGAGCCGCACACTACACAAGTGCGGGTACCAGATGAGGGGCTTTGAGCGCATGTACAACGGCCACAACATGCCCTCTTCCTCTCTTCCCTTTTCAACCATGCAGGTGGATAATCTGAGCCGCACGTTGCACAAGTGCGGTTACCAGATGAGGGGGTTCGAGCGCATGTACAACGGCCACACGGGGCGGCCGCTGCAAGCAATGATCTTCCTTGGCCCCACCTACTACCAGCGCCTCAAGCATATGGTGGATGATAAAATCCATTCAAGAGGCAGAGGGCCCGTGCAGGTGGGTTTTTTCTTTGAAAAGTAGGTACACTTGTATATCCAAGCAGGAAGCATGATCTTCCTGGGCTTCACCCCACCTGTTACCAGCGCCTCAAGCACATGGTGGATGATAAGATCCATTCAAGAGGCAGAGGGCCCGTGCAGGTGAGCGTCTGTTTGAATGCTCAAACCACGTTGTCTCTTTCAGGGGTGTGTTGGCTGATGTTCAGTGTAAGGGGTCATTCTGATTTTCCTGGGGCCCTTCCCACCTACGACCAGCACCCTCTCACCTGAGACAGGGCCTAAAGGCTTAAATACCCCTTTTGGCCCCTTTCAATCCCACTGAACCCCTGTCAATCTCTCCAGATTCTCACACGGCAGCCAGCAGAGGGGCGGTCGAGGGACGGTGGGCTGCGGTTCGGAGAGATGGAGAGGGATTGCATGATTGCCCACGGCGCGGCAGCCTTCCTCAAGGAGCGTCTGTTTGACCACAGCGACGCATACCGCGTGCACGTGTGCGAGATCTGCGGACTCATTGCCATCGCCAACCTGAAGAAGGGGCTGTTGGAGTGCCGTGGATGCAAGAACAAGACGGATATTGTGCAGGTGAGGGGAGAGGGAGGGGAGAGAAGATAGAGGGGAGAGGCAAGAGAAGAGTGGAGAGGAGCAGGGAAGGTGTTTCTTAAGGAGCGGCTGTTTGACCACAGCGACGCGTACCGCGTGCACGTGTGCGAGATCTGCGGTTTCATTGCCATTGCCAACCTCTAGAAGGGCCTTCTGGAATGTCGCGGATGCAAGAACAAGACGGATATTGTGCAGGTGAGCAGGGAGAGAAGGGAGAGGCGAGAGAGGGAGAGGCAAGAGGGGAGGAGGCAAAAAGGGAGGCGAGAGTAGAGAAGGGAGAAGCAATCGGGGAGGGAGCAGCAGGTGAGCGGAATGGAAGGAGACGAGCTCTCTTTTCTTCCATACCAGGTGCATGCAAGCCGCTGTTCCAAGCGCTCATAGCGATGGCCATTGCACTTATGTCCATGCACAACATTGTGCTTTGCTCCTCCTTTGTCTTCTCCCTTCCTCTGCGCACAGTAGGTGCACATGCCGTATGCATTCAAGCTGCTGTTCCAATAGCTCCTGGCCATGGCCATCGCACATATGCCGATGCATAAGCTCCTTCCCCTGCTCACTTCAGGTGCACATTCCATACGCATGCAAGCTGCCGTGTTAGGAGCTCATGGCCTTGACCATCGCACGTAGTCTACTCATGCACACCATTGGGTTCTCCTCCTCTGCTGCTTTCCACTGCTCATGTCACCCCAGGTGCACATGCCATATGCATGCAAGCTGCTGTTCCAGGAGCTCATGGCCATGGCGATAGCGCCTCGCATGCTCACTCGTGATACTCCTGCACCCAAGGCAAAGAAGAAGGCACCTGCTGCTGCTTCTTGATTGGCCAATGTGGACACCAAGGACGGCCTCAGGAACAGTACATCCTTGCAACATTGTTGGATTTGTGCTCACAGGAGTGTTTGATGGTGCAGCTGTTGCTTCTTGGGGTGATCACTTTTATGCTGGAGGATGCCTAAGGGCAACTAAAAAGGGGCAAAAATACCAGCATTCTGTGCAGAAGGGCGTTCTGTTCTCACCTCTGGGTACCTGTTTCCCTAAACCGTGGTGCAATGGGGCTGCTTTGCAAAACGTGAGCTGTGCCAGCCGGGAATCGAACCCGGGTCTGCACCGTGCTGAATGGCAGGGTGCTATTCTACCACTAGACCACTGGCACTGGAAGTGATGCTGTATATAGCAAGTGGGACGGATTCGTGCGAAAAAACAACTGACAGGACACTCAGCAATGACGGGCCTTATCTCTATCTGAAACACAATGGCGGCTGCGATGGCAATGGCGCCTTGTACCTTTCACGTCTATCCACGCGCCCGTATGAGCTGGAACTGCCGGCTTCCTGGACGAAGGCAATGCCCGGTAGGCTCCATTCTCGCAGCCGCCCATGGGCATGGCGCGAGGCTCTGCCTTCCTAGGGCGGTAGAAACTACACGATTGACGGCTCCCTTCCTGTTCATCTTTCGAGCAACGGGAGAAAGCCTGTTCACGTGTGCGCGCTTTGCGCTCTTGGTGTTGGTTCCGTACTACTGTCAGTTTTACCGCATTTTGGCATTAGTTGATCATAGAGGATACTGACACCGGCGGTTTTCCATCGACAGCAGCAGGACACCTTCTGAGTCTAGCAGCTTGTGAATACACTGACTGCAAATGGTAGCATCGAAGGCACAATCGCTTTTAACGTTTCGAGCTTCCAAATCATTATGGCTTCTCGTCCTCCTAATCTCGGCCTGTAAGTGTGACGCGATTGTCCAAAGCACGGATCGTCCACGTGTCGCTGGTGGGGGAGCCACGGCGGAGAGGGTTGTGGATGCGGCGGGTCCACCTGTCGTGGGAGCGAGCAGGAGGTTTCTCTGCGGTGAGCCTTTACGTGCGGAATGCCGTCTTTCACGCTGACGAGTGCTGGGCTTTTGAGACGTTTTAATCCTCAAAATCTTGCCTGTTACTACGTTGGTGAGCGAGGGCTTGTGAATATTGTTTGTTCGAATTACCTGGGCGATCGCCTTATAAATCGCCATCGTGAATTTCTGCTGCTTCACCACTCGTAACCCTTCATGCAGATGACAACTCCACTGTCGCGTCTGACAGTAACGAGCGTGACAGCACGAAGAATACACCTCCTACTGATGCGTCCAAGTCCGAGGGCGGCTCGAATCGAACATTTTTGTTCACTGGCAACGATGCGGTTCGAAACAGCAAAGGCGAGGGGGAAAAGCCGGTCCCAACAGACTCTGAAAAAGAATCGAGCGCGCGAGATGTCGGCGAGAACAAGCGGGGGAAGGTGGGGAACGATGTTGATGCTGGGAAGAATAATAATGGCGGGGGTCATGACGGCAGTCGGGGTGACGGGCGCGAGGAGCGCAACGAGGAGGAAAGGGGAGAGAATAACGAGAAGAACGAAGGCGAAGAGAGCGAAAAGAAGGTCACGAGAGGAAAGAGCGACAACGGGAACACACATGAGAGTAGCCGTGAACGCAAGGAGGCCGGCGAAGTCGGGAACGCAGAAAAGTGGGGAGGGAATGGGGACGAGGGAAAAACCAGGGAAGGTTCTGACATCGGCAATTCATCCAGGGTGAGCGAAGGACACACGAAGTGTAACGACTCCAGTGGTAACACTACTGAGGAGTCGTCGTCGACCCACGGCAGCAGTGGAAGCGAAAATGATGTTTCACTCGCGGATCGGCTGGGCGACTGGAGTGGCGGGGCTGGCGGCAATGAGAAACTGCCGTCATCGCTCGCTGCGCTATTAGCTGACGCGCTAATACGACTGACCGCGACTGCGCGAATCCGAATCGACGGCCAAGGTGAGTATGGTACTAAGCGACCATCACTATTAAAGCCGGGCGTATGATGTTGATACTTCACTTATGTTTGAAATGCGACCTTCTTATGAAGTCCGTGGCTATCCTGCAGGTCTGGACCTCGGACGCCGGGCCGGGCAGCAAGGTTCGTCACCCAACCCTATTTCTACGTCTGGGCACAGCCCAGCTCGGAGCACGGACCAAGTTCTCGCGAATCCCCTGATGGCGGTGAATCTGTTCGTGTTCAACGAGCCGATCGAGATCTCAGCCGTCCATTCGTTCGAAAACAAGGGCAGCGTGTCGCTGCAGACGCAGCTCGCGCTGACGACGGCTCTGGCGCGAGACAACGCCACGGTGACGCAGGACCACCCGCAAAACCAGGAGAGCGGATTAGGGAGATCGCAGGATCAACAAGGATCTAACACGGAACTAGGTCAAAACACGACGGCAGGAGAATCAACGACGTCGCAAGGAAATGGTGTTAGTGGCCCGCCGTTACCTAAGGCGGCACGTCTGGCGCCACCTACGGCATCAAGTTCGGGATCTCGGGGCGGTGTGACAAATTCCTCAGCTCCATAAAAGGTTCCCCAGCCTGCTCGTTACGGGCACACCTAAATTGCAGACCAATAAGCGCGTGCATTAGTCGAAGTCTCGAGAATGTTCCACTCGTAGAATCAGAGCTCTATATTGCTGTCATTCCTTTGTAAAGAAGTGTAATTCGTCTACTGTATATGACACATCCCTTACTCTATATCGCAGTATTCTAACCAGGGCCTCCCTAACTTCGCCCACACCTTGGTTTCATCCCTGACAACACGCCAAGCATCTGACGCTTGAGGTTGACCAGTCATCCAACGTGAACTCTCTTAGAGGAATCTTAGCCGTCCACGTACAGTCGGACATGGATCAGTGGGATCAACGGGGGACAACTGATCCGAGCCGCATGTCAACCCATCACGGCCATGAAGCATATCTCGAGGCGCCTCCACTCCAGGCGTGCAAGGGCAATTCATCCCCTGCAGCGGCACCGCGTCGCGAGTCTTTCCAAACAAGTCGATCAATCGAACGAAAGCGTGTTTCCGCGACTAGAAATAGTAGCTTGTTCACGTATGCTCCCATTCCGTCACACTCCCCGCATTTCAATCGCGTGTTCGCATCTCCCTTCAATACTGAATACCCACGGGTAACATAACCATAACCATATTATCATCTGGCGAACCGTCCTTCCACCCAATGACTTCCCGCGTGAGTCACGCTCACACAACACGACATATTCCTCTCACCGCCGCCAGAGTTTTCCCGCTGCTGCTAGTGCTCGCCGCTACAGCTCCAGCGGGATCTGCGGGAGCTCGTTCAGAACCTTCTAATGGCCTCCTCCCGTCAACCGCGCTGGGTGGACTGCGAGGAGACGCCGACAACTCACAAGGACCTCTTAAAGACGTCCTTAAAGACGTCGGCCACGAGCTGTTTGGCACTAGTAGTATGATCGGCCAGGAAGGACTTGTTGAGGCAGTGGATCAAGAAGAAATCCTTCACAGTGCAAGCGCTGCAGCGCAGGCTGCTGCGACTGGGAATGCACAGGGTGCTGCAACACTTGGAGCAGCACCTATTGATGCAGCGAGCAGAGCAGCACCTGTTGATGCAGAAGCAGCAAGCAGCGCGACACAGGGCGCTGCAAGGAAACCTACCGCGGAGTTGGATAAGGCTCGTCTTCTAGAAGCTTCTGTTCCGGTTCCAGAATCTGCTGATACGGAGTCCCGCGCGGATCCGCCTGCTGCTTCCAGGACCGTTAATTCCGAATCCAACGGTTTGGAGCGTCGGGAGCTTGCTGAGGCCCACGAGCTCCTGGGCGACCCGCCTGAGGTCCACGCTGGCAGCAGCCAGGTCCACGTCAGCAGCAGCCCGGTCCACGTCAGCAGGGGCAAGCAGCGAAAGGTGGCGGTGGTGGCAGTGGTGGATGAGGAGACGCGGAGGGGCATGGAGGCATGGATGCAAGACGAGGTGAAACGCGCCGTGAGCCGTGGATTGAAGCAGCTCCGGCAGAAGCTTTTAGAAGATGTGGACAAGCGAGGTGAGGAAACAAAGGTTTTTTATCTTTACCCCATCCCATGCATACCATAAGCACACTATCTTACATCCCAAATCCTGTTCATGCATCCCATCTGTCTAAAGCTGACTGACCCTGCGGCTCTGGTCATGCCGCCTCAAAAGACCGTCCGCACCTCCTTCTTCCCACGCTCATCCCTCTTTGCAATTTCCCCGCTTTTGGTCAACAGTGCGCAAGCAGCAAGGGAGCCATTGTGGAGGAAAGAAGAGAAGCGGCTCACGAGGGAAAGGGGGCAGCGGCTGTAAAAAAAGGTCTAATTGCGGGAAGTCGCACAAGAGCAAGAAATCAAAGGAGCACTACAGCGATTCTTCGTTGTGGATCCCTTCGTTATTAGCACACAAGCCGTTCCCCAGCAGCATCAACATACGGTCGTACGTGTTTCAAGGCCCGGTGGAAATTTCCGGAATTCGCGAGCTGAACAACAGCGGGACGATCACCAGGCAGACCCAGATTGCAATCACCAAAGCAACGGCTAAGGACAACGGTACAGTGAGTCAGAACGAGCCGCAGTCACAGAGGAGTGCACATGGTGGTGCTGGTATGGAGGGTGGCAGTATGGAGAGCGGCAGTGGGGGCGGTAGCCAATCAGAGGAGAGGATGACTGGCGGGAAGCATGGTGATGAGAAGAGCCATTACCAGGGTGAGTATGGTGAGGGGGGTGGTGGAGGGGAGAAGCATGGGAAGATTGGGGAGGTGAAGGAGATTGTGGGAGAGGTTAAGGAACATGGGTTTGTTGGTGGTGTGGGGGCTATTGCTGATGATGTGAGTGGCTGTGGAAGCGGTAACTGTACAGTGCCTTGTGCTGGTGACTGTGGTGGAGGCAGGGGAGGTGGTAACCGTTACAATAATGTCAGCATCGATAACAACGGCAACATGTATATCAATGAAAGCACCTATAATAATGGCAACAGCTACAGTAATGTCAGCATAGATAATAGCCGCAACAGGTATATCAATGGCAGCATCAACAACAGCGGCAACAGCTACACTAATGTTACTATCTCTGGTAACAACAGCTACAGGAATGCCAGCATAAACAGTGACAGCAACAACAATGGCAGTGGTTACAACACCGGTGGTAGCTACTCTGGGGACAATGCTGGGAGAACTATTGCGGTAGGCGCCGGAATGGGGGGTTGATTAGTCCAATACTGTAATAAAGGCTGTTATAATGCCCTAACATCTGTACATAATTGTTGCATACTTGTCGTATTTGTGTAGAGAACTTGTAACATAAACATGAATCATGTACGTAAATCATGTGCGGTGGTTGACTTTGGTCCAGCCTGTACGTGGATTCGAAGTTGCGGAAGATTGGAACCCTGACTTGAGGCATTGGGATCAGCGGCAGAATGACCAACTACATCAAATGCCCATCCCAAGTGATGTGAGCGATTAATCCAGCTGCAAGCTTCCCTGTTTGAGGTCGAGAAAAGCCGCTGAACGGTCAGCTGCAGCATATATGATAGGACTCGTTGAGAGGCGATTATACATGCGAGGAGCTACACGGGTTTGAGGTCAAGAAAGGCTGCTAGCTCTGAAACGAGGCGAGGCGGCCAGCGGCGATACTCACTCACCCACTCGCGATCACGGTAGCGGCCGTCCTGTTGGGAAGATGGGGGAGGGGAGTGGAGGGAGGTGATGGAACAGGGAAGACAGGAGCACAGGTAAGGGCCAGCGGCAATACTCACTCACCCACTCACGATCGCGATACCGCCCGTCCTGATGGATGGGAAGGAGAGTGGTGGGAGGGGATGGAGCAGGGAGGTCGGGAGCACAGGTAAGGGCCAGCGGCGATTCTCACTCACCCACTCACGATCACGGTAGCGCCCGTCCTGATAGGAGGGCAGGGAAGGGGATGGTTGGGACGAGAAAGACGGAGCATGGAAGTTGGAAGGCAGAGCAGACAGGTACGGAGTTCAAGCGGGGAAGGCGAGCCTGGGGAGACAGGCAGGGAACAGAAGCAGGAGAAGAGAATAGATTTTCAGTACCTCTCTCGTAACAACGGCAAGCTTGGCATAAGGGAAGGGAGATAGAGAGGAGCGAAGTGAGGTAACAAGGAGAGAAGCATTAAGTAGTCCCATGGTTACAGAAGAAAAAGCAGGGAAATATAAAACTTCAGGGGAGGGGAGAGGAAGGATGAAGGGATGTGCGGAATGAGAATAACGAGGGTGGAAAGAACAGAAAAGAGTGCTCACATCAACTCTGCTCCAGGCGGTCTCAGCTTCTGCTCTCAGCCCTGCTGCATAGAGCGCCACTGCCAGCGCTGCTCTCATGTCGGGAAACTGCAGGTGGTGTGAGGGAACACCAGGGGAAAGGGAGGAAGAAAGGGAGGAAGTATATCAGGAAGTGAGGGGGGAAGTGAGGGGGAGGAATGAGGGAGGTAGAGGGCTCACGCCACCCCCAGCCTCAGCTCTCAGCCCCGCTTGGTTTGATTGAGATTTCTCAAAAGCACCCTGCAAAATCTCAGCCCCTCTGCATAGAGTGCCACTGCCAGCGCTGCTCTCATGTCTGGGAACTGCAAAGGTGCAAGGAAGCAGGCGGGAGTAAGGATGAGAGAATGGGAAAGAAAGCTCACAATTATCCGAAGTTATCCATTCCAGCATGGCTCAATTGGCATAGTCCTGCCATCTAAGACGCTGTCATCAAAGTTAGACACACACACGGACGTCGCTAGCTACCTATCATTCTGCTCCGTCACTCACCTCAGGGTACTTTCGGAGAAGGCTCCTCATCTGCTTGATGGCAGCATTGTCGTTTCCCACCTCGTATAGCGCCTGGCGAGGGGACAGGGGAGAAGGGTGGGGGGTGGGGGATGAGTGTTGAGGAAGAGGGTCGAGTTCTTAGGCGCCACAAGGGTCGTTTGCCACCTCGTATAGCGCCTGGCGAGGGGACAGGGGAGAAGGGTGGGGGTGGGGGGGGTGAGGAGTGACAATCACAGAATGAGGGGCCACGTAAGAAAGGTGGGAGGGTGGGCACTTCTGAGAATTCTCAAGGGTGAAGGCGAGGGGTGAGGCGTGGAAGCCGAGGGGTGAGGGGCGGGGGATGTGCAGTGAGGGTTGAGGGGTGATAAATGTGGGGCATGGGGAATGGATGAGGGGTGAAGAAGAATAGAGGAGGAGGGGGGAGAACAAGAGAGGGTTGGGGGACGGGGGGAGGTAGTTATAGAGGGGTAAGGATGGGGGATAAAGATGGGAGATACAGCTGTGCATCTAAGTTCTCAATACCGAGAGTGAACTGGTTTTTGAGAATTCTCAAATACCGAGAGTGAACTGGTTTTTGAGAATTCTCTAATACCGAGAGTGAACTGGTTTTTGAGAATTCTCAAATACCGAGAGTGAACTGGTTTTTGAGAATTCTCAAATACCGAGAGTGAACTGGTTTTTGAGAATTCTCAAATACCGAGAGTGAACTGGTTTTTGAGAATTCTCAAATACCGAGAGTGAACTGGTTATTGAGAATTCTCAAATACCGAGAGTGAACTTAGAGCAGCAAACAACAAGCTTGGAAGCATTGAGTCCGTGGTTCAAAAAGAGTAATACTCACTAGAGCGTAGTTGGCAGCAGCAAAGGAGAAGGCCGGAGCCAGCATGGTGGCCCGCCTGTAGCTCTTCACCGCATCGCCCCACGCGCCCACTCCTGCCTGCATGGCAGTGGCACGTGGAGGGAGGGAGGGATGGACTTTTGAGTCAACTAGAAATCATCTCATCTCAAAAGGAGAAGGCCGGAGCCAGCATGCTGACCCTCATTGACCCCATTGATCTGCGCATTTCCCTCGTCTACCCACCTGTGCGTCGCCGAGGTTGTTCCAAGCTGCAGGGTCGTCAGGCGTTACTGCCAGCACTGCCATGCATGTACCCCGTTGACCCTGTTGACCCCATTGACCCATGTTGATCCATGATGATCGATTGACCCCGTTGACCCCATTATCTCCCACTTGAGTGTAGCATTATCCCCACCTGTGCATTGCTGAGGTTGTTCCAAGCAGCAGGGTCGTCGGGCGACACTGCCAGCACTGTCATGCATGTGCCCCCTTGACCCTGTTGACCCTGTTGGACACTCATTGACCCCATTGACCCCGTTGACCCCATCCACCTGTGCGTTCCCGAGGTTGTTCCAAGCAGCAGGGTCGTTGGGCGACACCGCCAGCACTGCAGAGTAGTCCGCCGCAGCTTCCTGGAAGCGTCCAAGCGACTCCAGCGCCACGCCTCGGTTGAGAACTGGGTCTACTGCATAGCTGATGGGAGAATGTGCAGAGGGGTGCGGGGAGGAGGAAAGGGGTGAGAAGAGGATAGGAGGTAATAGAAAAGTGTGTTAGTAAGGCCAAGCTTCGGTTGAGGACTGAGTCGACTGCATAGCTGATGTGCGGGGTGAGCTGGGGAGGGGTGAGCGGACGAGTGAAAGGGGAGCATTAGACTAAAGGGATGAGAGGAGGACAGGAGGGAAGGCAAATTATGTTGATAAAGCGAAGCCTCAGTTGAGGAACAGTAGGCGATGGAAGCGTTGTAGTCATCTAGAGCCTCCACCAGTCTGCCCTGTCTGGACCATGCATTGCCTCACCAGAGAGAAGAAGCAGAGCAAACACAGCGCCTCACATAGCAGCACAGGGCACGTACGGAGCGTAGGCAATGGCAGCGTTGTAGTCTTCTAAAGCCTCTACCAGTCTTCCCTGCCGTGACCGCCAGTCGTGTAATCAACTCTAGAACCCACGTACGGAGCGTAGGCGATGGCAGCGTTGTAGTCTTCTAGAGCCTCCACCAGTCTTCCCTGCCTTGACCGCGCATTGCCTCGGTTGCCCAGTGCTCTCGATGCAATGTCCGGCACCCACTCGGCATTGCCTGCCCGCTCGCACGATTGAATCACCACCGTCCATAGCGCCTCCTCCTCCTCCACCTGCCAGCACGCACAATCCAGACCGTTGTTAAGTCAATACAATAGCGTAAAGGTGGCCATTATATAGTCACAGTAAGGGTGTGTTCAAAGGTGGTGACATGAACGCACATATACATTAGTCTAGGGGTGGTCCTCAGATAGTCACAGGTTAGTCACACGAACGTACAGTGGAAGCAGTGAGGGCGCGTTCAAACGTGGTGGCAGCAGCTCTCAGCCATTCATCAGTGTGTCCGTATACTGGAATCACTTTTCCTTACAGGCACAGCAGCAATGGTTGACTAGACATACAGTGGAAGCAGTGAGGGCGCGTTCAAACGTGGTGGCAGCCGCCCGGAGCTTCTCGTCAGCGGGGTCAAACGTCCCTCTCGGTGCAGCTGCTAGGTCAATCCTAGCTGGAGGAACAGGCCCTCCCGAATTTACAGCAATTGCTGACAAGGATGCTGACGTGGCTGCTGACGTGGATGCTGACGTGGATGCGGATGCGGATGCTGACGCGGAAAATGACATGGAAAGTGACATGGATCCTGAGGCAGAGGCCGAGGCTGAGCTTGACGCTTCTGTCCCAAATCCGAAAAGTTCAAATGCCCGGGCGTGACTGTACCGAGAGGCTGAATTCGGCAGGAGGAACGGGGTTAGACCCCATAAGCCAGTGGCGGCTCCGAGTAGTAGCAATTTTCTTCGTCCTCCGATATAATCACCCGAATTTAAGACTGCGTCTGAACTGGATTCTGTTACAAGTCCTTCACGTTCAGGATGAGGATTCCCTTCCGAGGACGAACGGCTGGTCGCAGAGTGGGACATTGGTAGACAATCATGGCCGTTCGATTCCTCGCTCGCCACGCTTGTGCCCTCTGGCCCATCCATGCCATCCTGCATGCTCGATCTCGCTATTAGACAACGCGATATCCGTATTCTTGGGTGAGCTGCTTGTTCGAACCTTCCTTTACTGACTCTGACGGCCAGTCGGTAGTGAGCCGCTGCCTCCGGCACCGTCGTTATTCTTGACGGCGAAGCTTGACCCTTGCTGAAGCTACCGACGCCGGATAACCAACCGAGCCGAGCCGCGTTGACAGCCATCGCTGCACTCACGGTCCAGCAGTACGGATAATGAGTCAGATTCACCTAAATTTCCGGCAACCACTGCGAAGTTTGCTGAAGTTCAGGACTGAAACACAACTAATCACGTCACGGAGATATGAATGAAACCTCAGCGTGAGCTGAAGTCGTGTGTGTCCACCAGCGTGACAG